CCTTTTCCTGGATCAAATGTGTATACACTCATATCAAAGCAATATTAAGTAAATATTTGACTTATGTCTATCTCTCCCCTTCATGTTCTAAGGACCATGAAGGCAAGCAATAAGCCTAATTTATCTCCCCACTGTATTTCCCAGCACCCATAATGGTCTTTACACCTAACGCTCATTGAATGATAAAATGTCTATTTTGGCTAAAGAAACGCCTGAATATATGTAGACACACCAAGCATACACTCCTACACTCACACATTTGGTAAGCCAAGTCGTCCCCAGCCCCCAGACTACCCCATCATGGATAGGTCCCAAGGTGATACCTGAACAAACTCGAAGGTGACACCCTCACCAGCTGCCTGGCACCAGCTCTGTAGCTGCTTCTCAAAAGCCTGAGAGAAGGGAAACAAGATGATCTCTTAGGCTTTCTCTGAGTCTCTAGGGCACGATTAGAGATATGATTAAAGATGCAGGTTCTCTCCCTCTAACCCAGGTAGAGTCAGCACCTGCAGGTCCACATCTGGTGCCAAGCGGAAGTCAAAGCTGGCGCTCATAGTGGCGGGTACCACATTATAAGCCACACCACCCTCTAGCTTAGTCAGGTTCACACAGGTTACGGCCCCCTCCTTCAGATGAGGGTTTGACTGCAGCCTTTAGTTGGGGGGGAAACAGATAAAAGAAAGTAGCTCAGCCTCCCTCTCCTCTTGCACTGCCCCCCAAGGGCCACCTCCACCCCACCTCATTGCCAGGCCGCCTTACCTCTGCCTTTCCTTCTCCCGGAATGCCAAGATGGAGCTCACAACTTTGTGCTAGAAGAGCGTGAAGTGAGATGTGAGAGTGGCCCCAGGATGGAACCTCCCAAACACCCAGATTCTCCAAGGACCATGTACCAGCTTCTCTGCTGCTGTGTCCTCAATGAAGCGTGACCCATGGCCTGGCCTCCCAGAGCTGGTAAACCGCACCCCTGGGGAGATGTAGAGGGAAGAGAATATTTCCAGCACATGAGAGGGCTGGAGATGCAGTCATCCCAGGTATCTCCCTTATTCCAAGCACCTCTATCAGGACCCTGTCCTGCTTGGAATCACAGCATACAGCTATTCCTGCCTATAGTCAGAACTTGCCCTCAGAAGCTCAGGAAAGAGGAGACCAGGCAGGAAGAGGTGAGAGGCAAAGGCCCTGGCTTCAAGGCCTATTCAGGACTCAACGGGATTTGTGATCCTTTGTAGGCTGATGCTCTTTTTCATCATCCACATATATAGCAAACCCTCCCTCCAAGCCCACCCATACTCACACCAGAGGCTCCGCTCACTATAAAAGACAGTGAAGGCATCAGTGGGGTTAGCCAGGCCTGAAGGGGAAAAGGAGGTTCAGAAAATGGAGTGACTCAGCCCCCACTAGCAGCCTCCATACCCCCATCCTGGCTGATCAGAGGCTTACCAACCTACTCACCCTCATCCAGGGCAAATCCCACCCTCAGGGCCTGGAACTCAGGCCGCTGTACGAACAGCTCCATGCCTTTGTGACCTCCGATTTCCTCATCTGTAAAAGCACAGGGACTTGTGATAAGGGGACTGCTCCATGACACTCCCCTTCAACCCCAAAGCTGCCCTCCTTCATAAGTCACTCCTACCAGGTACAAAGGTCATGTGGATGGTTCTAGGAAAACGGTGGCCCTCAACCTTCAGCCTTCTCACAGCTTCCAGGTACCTGAGGGGGCATAAGCCAAGCGCTGCAGGAGCTACAGATGCTTATTAGAATGGCCCAGCAGAAGGGCCAAGCTGGACTAGCAAGGTGCAGTCCTACCCTGCCATGATCTAGCAAGGGCTCCAGAAAGTCCCTGCCCATCTCTGAATCTCAGTCTTCCCATCTGTTCAATGGTTATGGAAATAATTTTGCCCAAGCTAGGGGTCAAGATGACTCTTACACTGAAGTTCTCCAGTCACATTCCTGTGTCAGGCTATTGGTCCATTGAGGACACTGCAGGGGACTGGGAATAAAAGATACTCACTGGATGCTGACACTCTTCATGTCTTGGGTGCCCCTGGCATAGATGTAGCCCTCAGAATCCTTGAAGGCCTCAAAGGGGTCATGACTCCAATGTTCCTAGGGATAGGGATGGGAAAAAGAGGTGACAGAAAGGGTGGTAAGGAGTATAAAAGAGTACTGAAGAAGGTAGCTGATCACCATCTGGCAGAGTCAATGCTGGAAAAAGACTACTTGAGTGGAGAAATGGCATACAGATGTCAAGAGTTAGTGCTGGGACCAGCAGAATGGATTTCTGAGGTCTACATCCTGTGAGTCCTCCAGGCATGCATATACCCCTCCACACATACCTTGAAGACAGGTACCACATCCATATGGGAGTTGAGCAAGATGGAGGAGAGTGTAGGGTTGGTGCCTGGCCAAGTTAGCACAGGGACCACATAGCCAGGTGTCACCTAGAGACAGTCAAAAGAGAAGTTGGTCTATTCAGGGTGAGGAGGTGCCCCAGGCCCATTGCCCCTCTCCACCCAGGACTCCAGGCTCACCTCCACTTTCTGAAAGCTCAGGCCTAGCTGGTGGGCTCTCTCCTCAAAAAAGGCCACAGCAGTGCCTGGGGGTATAGAGAATCTTGGGGCTGTTTCTGCCTACCCATGGCTCCCACCAGCCCAAGCAGCCAAAAAAAAAAGATCCAGAGATCGGCTTCTGCTTCCCATCACAGTTTCATAACCCTCAGAGACACTTGCATTTCTATCCCCAAGGAAAAAGATATTTTTGGCTAGTGTGCAACTTTGTGGAAGACAAGGGTAAAGTCCAGGATTGGAAGCATGTGTTTTTCTTTGTGTGTATGTGATACTGGGGATTGAACTCAGGATCATTGATCATGCTAGGCAAATGCTCTACCACTGAGCCACATCCCTAGCCCTTTTTAAATTTTATTTTTAGACAAGGTGGCTTGGAACTTGCAATCCTCCTGCCTAAGCTTCCTGAGGAGCTAGGATTACAGGTGTGCGCCACCATGTCCAGCCGCAGGTGTTATTCTTCTTTAAAAGATGAGGGAATTATGGCCTAGAGACTTGAAAACATTCACCCAACATCTCTCAGCTGACAAACTATTGAGCAGAAATTTGGACCCAAGTACACAATTCCAGCTACCAAGCTTGATTCCTGAGGACCTTTATCAGCCCCAGTAAGATCCTTGAAGGGCCTCTCCCCAACCACTCCTGCTCTGGGAAGTTGTTCCCTAACCAATTGCTAGGAGTAACATTTGGAGCAACACAGCTTTTGGGAAAAGGGCAGTCAACAGTAGAAGTGACATCTCATCTATTGACATAGGGAATGACAGAGTTGGAGGAGGTTAGAGCACAGGCCCTGGGACCACCATGTTCTCACCATAGTCGGGATTAGGGTGGACAGTGCGGATGCGCAGGTACTGGCGGAACAGCGTCACAGATGGGTGCTCAGACTCAGGATCCTTGCTGGCCATGGCTCCGATCGTGGTAAGCTGAAGGCAAAGTGAATGGAGAATTGACCCTACCTGCACAAAGGGCTTCCCCACCGAGGCTCCCCAGAAGTTCTAAAGGAGAGGACACCTTATTTTGGAGCCCCTATTCTGCCCGCTTTCAACGCATATTCTTAATTTAATTCCCCAAAGAGCTCCAGGAATTTTGTGTCTCTCAATGCTCACTTTATAGAGAAAAAAGCTGGGGCTCACAGAGGTTCGGGGACAGCCAGAGAGTTGCTGAGCCAGGTTTGAATATGGACTTTGTTCCCCACGCCCTCCTCAAGAACCCCAAACACCTCTAGCCCTAGCCAAGACACCCAACCTTTCTTTCTCCTGGTCTTGGGCCGGCGTTCGCCTTTCAGCTCCCGCTGCGAGAAATGTGGCGGGGACTCCGGGTCCAGCAAGGTCGCGAGATCAAAACTGCCCTAATCCGCTCACCACTTGGCCCAAAGCCGGGTCGCGGGGCGGATATCGCAGATTGCAAGTCACAACCTGCCCACTCCCTGCGGCAGTGTAGGCGCCTAGGTCCGGGTCCTCCACCGAGCAGGACCTCCACTGAGTTATTGGAGGCTTGAATCCAGGATCCCGCCCCCTGGGCAGCTCTGGCCGCCGCCAGCTCCGCCCCACAGGCGGCACGTTGGGGGCTGGCTCCACCCCGAGAAGGTTCCGCCCCCAGAGGACACCTCCTTCCCCTCCAGCCTCCAGAGGAGGCCCTAGGAGAAGAGGGCGGTCCCTGACGCTAAAAGTGGCCGCTGCGGTGTTGAGTAAGTAGTAGTTCTCAAGGCGCAGGGCTGCAAAGGCCTGGCCTGTTTCCCCACCCCCTCCCGCAAGACTTCAACCGCTCTCCTTTTCGTGCTTCAGCGGATCGAGAAGATTCTCCCATGCCTCATCTCCATGTTTAGTAAGGTTGTTGGTTAATATCTACCTGTTCCACACTGTGACCTCCAGGAAGCTGGTCCACGTGTCCGCAGGATTCTGACCCTGGTCAGGCACAGAACAGCTGTCCAGACAACGTACCAGGAATGAAGGATACATGGCCTTGTTGGGAATATGTGTGACTGTGTGAATGTGCCACGGTGTGGGCAAACCTGTGTATCAGTGGACATGACCATATGTGTGACAATATGAATGTGAGTTAGTGAGTGTGATGGGATGTCACTGAAAAAGATGCAATCCTGACGCCTTATGACAGTGAGACGTGGGGGAAACAGCACACTCTTGGCTGCCCCTGTGCCAAACTGGATCTTCTTCACCCACCAGAGACGGAGAAACAGACATAGAGGTACCCTTGGCTACCTGCATGTGCACATTTGTGTAACTGGCTGCTCTTTGCACTCTCAACCAGTTCTGCTCTCTGCTCCAGTGGCTGAGTCAGTTTGGCAGCCCACAGGAGTGGAAAACTTCAACCCCTGGACCAAGAAAGCAGTCTGGAAGGGTAAGGGAATGGCCCATCCCATCCTTCCTGGGGTTGAAGTCTCTGGATGTTCACTCACACATAACAAAGGAGCAAACAGGCTTGTGATTCAATAGCAATGCTGTTTTAATTCTTAAACCAGTTTCCCCATACTTCTGTCTACACACTCTACATTCCAAACTCAGCTCAGCTACCCAGACCCTGGATTTCCCACCAATCTCAGTGGTCATACAGCAGCATTAACATGCACTCCTGCTTTCCCCATCTCCACATGACCAAATGCTTTACTTACCAGACACATTCAATCCTACAACTTCCTTCCGAGCTAGATGTTACCATCATGTCTGTTTAACAGATGCCTAAACTAAGGCATACAGAATTAAGTCGTAGAGTGAGGAAGTGGCTCACTCTTAGATCCACAGGGTTCTGGAGCACCCCCCCCCAACCCCAGCACCCGCCCCTAAAGAGTCCCAAACTTGCTTCCTACTCCCACCTCTCTGGAAGCACACCAGGAAAGAGAGCCTGTTACTCTCTAGGCAAAACAAATATGCTTTTCTTTATTGTGCCTGTGAAGTGAAATGAGACATCCTGGCTGGGCCTGCCCCTTGGGCCTGGCTGGGCCTGCATCCCTGGTTGGGAGAGAGTGGTGGTCCAGACCCTCCTAGCACAGGACAGGCCTAGTGCTTTGGAAGTGGGTTAGTTCGAGACAAATGGTCAAGAAAGTCAAGGAGGACGAGATGGAAGTCTTGTGGCTTGTGGAGGTAGCAGGCATGGCCTGCGTTGTGTATCTTCACCACAGAGTGATTGGGCAGGTGGCGGAGCTGCTGCAGTGACTCTTGAGCCAGTTTGTGGTCGAGCTCCCCATACAGGATCAGGGTTGGGGTCTGCAGGGCAAGGCAAGAGGCTGTGATCCTGGAGACAGGTGAGGATCTGATCCCCAAGTTATTATCTTAGGAAGACTTTCCGAATCCCCACCTCCTCCATTCAAAATCACCGTTAGAGACATGTCCCACCAAGTAAGACTTGAGTCCTGACTGCCCCCTCCATGTCACAAATTAGGGACAGGGTGCCACAGTGACCTTTGAAGATCCTTATTCTAGTACCTTCACAGCCCAGAATTGTTCCTGGTTGTAGTTCTGGGTGGAGGTGGGAGCGATGGGCACGAATCCACGTAGCTGGTGGTGGCTTTGCATCAGGAAGGGCAGGGCGTAGTGGCCACTCAGTGAGGGGCTCACTAACACAGCATTCTGCACCTCCAGGTCTCGCAAAACTCGCTCCAGCAGCTCTGCCCTCCCTGCCTCTGTGCTTACTTCCTTTGAAGGTGCTGAGTTCCCGAAACCTGGGAATGGCAGCAAGTACTAGTTGAAGGTAAATCTGGACTTCTTTCCCACCACAGTGTAGAAGACATGGGGACCAGTGGCACATGGTACATGCTACCCCAAACTTCCTAGAAGCAATTTTTTTTTATATATAATGTAATAGGCCTGCTAGAAAAATATCTTTTAGCCAGGCACAGTGGCACATGCCTGTAATCCCAGCCACTTGGGAGGCTGTGGCAGGTGTATCACAAGTTTGAGACAAGCCTCAGCAATTTAGTGAGATCTAGCTTAGTGAGTTCTAGCCAAGGATCTAGCTCAGTGATAAGAGTACCCTGGTCTCAATCCTCAGGACCCGAAACAAAAAATACCTGACAATACCCAGTTTGGGGGAAAGATGTAGAAAAACAGGCACTTTCATATATGACTAATGGGAGAATAAATCTGTGCAGCTCTTTGGAGGGTGAGGTAGTATTTTTCAGAATTTTAAAATGTGTATCCTTTGATCCATCAATTGTTCTCAGTAACTACCCTAAAAAAAGGATTGCCTCCATGCTTAAAGAAGCATGTCCAAAAATGTTTTACTCTTGAGGATTTCAACTGACATTGAAAACTCTAAATCAATCTACATATCCACCAGTAGAGGAATGGCAGATCAAAGGAGATTTGCAGAGACCAGCATGATCCAAGAGTCATAGTGTAGGGGGAGAAAACCAAATTGCAGACAGACTTGCAGAGCCAGCAAGACACTAATCATGTTTTCAATCCCCACCACACTATCCTGCATACCATCTGTGTTTCTATGTGTGGAAATGCTGAGGAGAGGGGTCTAGCACCCCTGCCAACTGCTTAGAGAGGGAGTGAAATGTGGCACAATCTCTGAAGGCTTCACTTTTTTTTTTTTTTTTAATGACAAAAATGACAGTGTCAGTTAAGGGTGTAGCTCAGTGGAAGAGCATGTGCTTAGCATGCATGCACGAGGCCTGGGGTTGAATCCCCAGCACCAAGGAAAGAGGAAGTGTCACAGGGGTGGTGGTGATGAAGAATTGACAGCACCAATCATTTGTGTTGTTAAAAAAACCAAAAAGCCACAGAGTTTGTGAGTCATATTTCTATTTGCTCTGACATACAAACACACTGTAATTTTCAAGGAAAACAATATAAATACACATTTTCATGTGACCTGCCACTGCTTATCCAGACACTGGCCCCCAAACCATACCTTAAGGCTTCCCTACCCTTCCAATTTCCCCTTCTGGGAAGCTGCCCCTTTGTAATTGCTATGTCCTGCCTCCCTAGATCTAAGGGTGGGGGTGCTCACCTGGAAGGTCAAGGGCCACAGCCCGGTAGCCCCTCCGTGATAATAGCTGCAGTGTGCCCAGCTGCTCCCATGTGTGGGAGTTAAAGGCCTTTCCATGAAGCAGCACCACCTCCACCCTGCAAGCACACAGGGAAATATATCCTGAGACCTGGGGCAGCCTACTGTTCTTTCTCCCTAAGTTTTTCCCATTGCTTTTGTAGGTCCCAAGCACCCTGAGTCAGGCTGGGGTCCTTCAGGTCTACACCCACCTGTGTGTCCGATGGAGTGGAACCACCTCACGGTAAAAGATGGGGGAGTTTCCTGGGGTAAGACCAACCAGGACTGTGACATTGGGGTCTCCCAAGAGCCAGGAAGTTTGCTCAGGGGGGCCAGGCAGTCCCATATACAATAGCAGCAGGAACAATAATACACCTAGGCCCAGCAGAGCAGCCTTGTACCGGCTCACGCAGGTCTGTACCGCAGTCTGGAGGAGGAGGGAGAAGGAAAAGAAGCAAGGCTGAGCCCCTACAAGGTGTCTGGACCCATCCCCAAACCCCAACCTGAAGTCCCTACAGAGAAAGATCTGCAACTCTGGCCCTTTCTTTGCTCTGGACAAAAGACTGGGGGTTCAATACCCAGCCACTCCATATGCCAGGACAAAGGCCCAAAGTGTGAGGAGGTGCATCTGAGTTGTCCCTCTAGCACACAGCATGCTCAGTGACCATCATCCCTGACAGTTAAACTTACTTCAAGCACTGATGACAGCAGGCTCCTGCTCAGCCCCCCTCAATAAGGAGGTCCATAAAGAACAATAAAGAAGATATAATTACAGGTCTCTTACAAATGAGGAAATTCAGGTTTGGAGAGGTGAATTCTATTGCTCAGGTAGCACAAAGCGGGAACTGGGATTTGAACCCAGGGCTGGACTCCTAACCATCAGGTCACACTTGGTTTGGAAGAAGGAAAACATGGAAATGGGAGGCAATGGATGAACTGAAGCCCCCCTACTGGATAGAGTGGTGAGGGCTATCCAAGGAGGAAGACTATTTGAAGAGACCACCCTCTGAGGGCAGGCTCGGAAATAGTTCATTTTATTATTCTGTATATAATACTGCTAAAATCAGAATGTGTTTTATGGTTGATGGGAATATTTAATGGCTGACCACAGCTGTTTTGAGGAAGCTCACAGAGAATGTTGGTGATGGAGGAAATGCAGAGGCCTGAGCCGGTGTGGGGCCAGGGAGGAGCGTGGTTCACCTAGAAATGGAAAAGGCAGCTGGAGGTTGGAGAGATGAATGTCTCCACCCCCATATACAGACACACATACAGCTTCACACCAAATGACCTGCTTCATGGACTCCTCCAGTACAGGGCCTTTGCCAGCCCAGGGACAGAGCCCAAGCAGGTAGACCTGGCTTTACAACAGGTCTCTGCCAATTCCTGACCCTGAGTCTTCAGTATATCAGTAAAGTGGGATAATTCTGGTTGCTCTCTCAAGTCTCCTGTGAGATTTAAATAATACAGGGGACTTAAGAGAAGGTGGGCTCTGTCCCTGTCATCATTTCTTGGGCCTAGGATGAGCACAGCCTGCCTTCTCCTAGGATTCTAGTAAATAATCTTTTTTTTCCTTTTCTTTTCATATTTATCTTTTAGTTGGACACAATATATTTATTTATTTATTTATTTTTATGTGGTGCTGAGGATCGAACCCAGGGCCTCGCATGTGCTAGGGGAACGCTCTACTGCTGAGCCACAACCCCAAGCCCATCTAGTAAATAATCTTTATTGAGCACCAAATAGGTGCCAGCTAGAATTAGCTGGAGTCCAGTCTTGGATCTCTCACACACCTCTGGGGGACATTTGGAGGGGATATCCTTCCCCTGCCCCCACTCCCACGCCTACCCTCCAGGTTCCGGAGTTAAGTGGTGGATAGGCAATGGCAGTTGCACTGGTGCTGATGGAAAAGCCAGGTGGAGAAACAGCTCTTCTTCCTAGTCAGGAACAGCAATAGGACGCATACCCACAACCTAGCACCTACAACGTAGTGTTAGTCTTGATTCCTACTATACTGAGCTTTGGGGTTGGACCCCTCCTGGCTGTCGGGTCTGCTGAAAAGTTGCAGCGCCTCTCACAGGAGGGAGGGGCAGGGCTTTGGTCGTTGCTTTGGCAATCCAGGGTGCAGCCCTTCTAGACTGTTGCAGCTGCAACCGGTGGCTCTAGAGATGGGGTTGGGATGGGGTGGAGTGGAGAACAAGCTGCCCTTTAGGCCACCGAAACACGTGTCGACAGTGACACTCACGTGTCCATACGTGCACACAGTCTTGCCCCTGTACCCTTTTCTTTTGCACGAACTATTCCCTGTACATACATGCAGAGTCCTTGCACACTTATTGGTCCTTGCACAATCAATCCCTTGCAATAACACTCTCAAAATCACGCACACAGTCAGGCATCAGGAAGGCGGACAGTGAACTGGCACACTCTTTCAGAAGGACTTGTACAGGGCGCTCTGGCACATGCCTGTAATCCTAGGCACTTGGGAGGCTGAGGTACAAGGATTACAAATTCGAGGACAGCCTGGGCAAATAAGCAAGACCTTATCTCAAAGTAAAAATAAAAAGGGATTGGGGATGTGGCTCAATGGTAGAGCGATTGCATGATATGTGCGAGGTCCTGAGTTCAAATCCCAGTATGGCAAAATAATAATTAATAATAATAATAAATTAAAAAACCCAAACAACCCACATGCAGACACTCAGAAATACCCAAGCACACAGTCACACATAGTCCTAAAACTACACACTCACATAAGAAACACAAGCACAGACAGATAATCACACTCCCACAGATAATCACACATAGAGAAATACCCCAAAGTAGACATACATAGACCCACAAATACACCGCCCCCACATCAGTACGAAGAAACAGACTGACAGATACACAAGCGGACACATACATATTCCCGGATTCCCAAGAATACAGCCTTCAGGCAGACACTTGCGTGCACACACACACACAACACGCGATCACAAGTACACTCCCAGACCCAGCGCGTGCCCCTTCAGTAGGACTCTGCCCCAGGAGGCCTGGGAAAGGTAGCCCGCCTCCGGGGCCAGCCTTCCTCCTTCCTCCCAGGGGACACTCACCGGGCCGACCCCGACGACCCGGCGAGCTACTGCGGGGCGGGCCCCGCCCCAGCGGAACCAAGAGCCAAACAGCGCCGCGGCCATGGCGTGGCCTCCGTCACTAGGTCGGCTGCTCCGTGACTAGGCAGTGACAAGTGAGGCTACCGAAGTGCGCCTGCGCACTCTGCAGCTGGCAGGCGGGGCTCCTACGTAGCAAATAGTTCCAGAGGAGAGGACTGGGGGTGGCGCCTCAAAGCACCAAGACCCAGCCGGGCCCTCCCCGTCCAGAATTTCCGAATAGTTTTGGGCTTAAGAACTGGCGGAGAGCCACCAGATTCTTGTCCCTAGAACATCTTCACTTTAGCTCAGTTATCTCTGTGGATACAATGGGAAGGATTTAAGACCTGTCAAGTCTCCAAGTCTCAGCCTGGCACAGAGGCCTCCTTCTGTAAATGCAGATACTATTTGTTGTTATGCAGCTGTTACAGGCGCGCGCGCGCGCGCGCGCACACACACACACACACACACACACACACACACACACACACACACACGAGGAGTCAGGCTTGAGTTCCTGTCTCTCATGCAACCTATCCTGCTTGCGATGTGTGACCATAGTCTGGTCTGTCCCAGGCTCAGGGCTCCGCGTGGTAACCAAACTCGGCACAAAGAAGCTGTGTACAGTGCACAGAACTCGATTCTTACTGGTACCCTGCAGAGGTGGGCAACATTCCACCCATTCTACACGTGAGGAAACAGGCTTGGAGAAGTTGGGAAAACGACCAATGCCACCGGGCTGAACCTTTTTTTTTTTTTAATATTTGTTTTTTAGTTTTCGGCGGGCACAACATCTTTGTTTGTATGTGGTGCTGAGGATCCAACCGGGACGCACGCATGCCAGGCGAGCGCGCTACTGCTTGAGCCACATCCCCAGCCCCCCACCGGGGTGAACTTTGACGGAGCCTTGCACTCAAACCTGAGAACATTAATTCTATGCCAGACGTACAATTCTGCTTGGGCAGACCTGACTGGGGATGAGGGTGATAGTGGGCAAGAAGGGAGCAGCACAGGGATGCAATTCCGAAAGGGCCCGCATCCTCAAGGTGTACCGAGTCTACAGTGGGCATGTCATGAGGGCTTCGGGACCGCTTTCAGTCTCGCGCCTTGAGCATGTGGGACCGAGTGGCTTGGGGAAACTAAGGTCTCTGTAAGAACAAGAGGGTTTAGTGGCGTGGACAGACCCGGAGACAGCTTGTGAACACAAGAGGGCGCCCTGCAGCATGGCCGGGTCCCCGCCTGGAACCCAGCCCGGGTCCCAGCCCCTGTTCCCGCCCCCGCCCTGGAGTCAACCTCTTCCCTGTTTTCCTCCCCATCCGCTGCGGGCACTCTGCTTGCCTCCGGTGTGCGCGAGACTACGCCGCTCCCCAGGTACCCAACTTGCAAGCTCGACGCACTCTTTCTCTCTCTGGTCAGAACCCACTCCCACCTACCCCAAGTCTTCCCATCTGGCTTCCCAGATCCCCTCCTTCTGTGCTGCCCTGCTTCCGCATGGGTCCGCCAGACCTAGGGAGCCGAACCTTGGTCCCGGGAGTAGACCGAGTGAACCGAGTGAACCGTAGCGGGGAGGATTTGACGGCGCCCCTGGCCAACGCTTTGGGCCCCTGCCGTTAGCACACTGAGCACCCTGTGCCCCTTGCAGGCTGGAACTCCAAAACTCTTGCCCGCTGGGCACTTGAGTTTCGGCCTTTAGAAAATGGGCATTTTATTGTAAACTTTGGCTCCTACCGCCTGCAGTGCCAACTCCCGACCTGTACCAGAGCGTTGGGGAAGATAAGGTTGATAAGCAAATTACTTTTTGTCTATTGAGCATTTACTGTGTGCTAAACATGGTGCCTGATGCGAGCATTTTACATGCGTGGCCTCATGTAATCCTAGCCACCTATAAGCCAATCCTAGTGCATTGTCCCCATTTGTACAAAAGGATAATAGCGATAAGAACAATAACCTGTAGAAGAGCTCCGCTGTTATTTATTTTCTTAAACTCTTAATAAAATTCGTAATTCTTGAGGTAGGCTTTATTATCCCCATATTGCAGATGAGGAAGCTGAGGCCCAAGGTCACACAATTAAGTGAGTGGCAGAGGCAAAAATGACCTTGAAACTTGTTTCTAAAGCCCTGGAGGCCTCCTTGCTACCCACTCCAGACCTCTCTCTGAGAGCCTCCCTGCTCCACCTGGGCAGGATGTTCTGTGGCTCCTCATCAGTCTGGCTTTGAACCACAGGCACTTCAGAACAGCAGCAGCAGAAATGGCAAGTGTGGAGCAGCGAGAGGGCACCATCCAGGTGCAGGGCCAGAGCCTCTTTTTCCGGGAGGCACAGCCTGGAAGTGGGCAGGCCACTGGCTTCTCTGTGCTGCTATTGCATGGTATCCGCTTCTCCTCTGAAACCTGGAAGAACCTTGGTACACTGCACAGGCTGGCTCAGGCTGGCTACCGGGCTGTGGCCATTGATCTGCCAGGTACTTCTGGAGCAGGCTTCTGGGTAGGGGTTGGGGAGGTCATATCTCAGACCCAGGGCCTGGGATGGGAGGGCTAGGAGGACCTAAGAGTTGGGTGTACACTATAAGTGTCTTTGAGCTTCTCCACTATTGATCTAGATGGGGCTTGGACACCACTCAGCTTCTTGCTATTACCCGGGGTGTCTCTGAGCCTTATTTCTTCATCTGTAATGGGAGAAGATACTGCACTCATGTATGGGGTTGCCCTTAGTGAGAATGGAATAAGACTGTCCATGTGAGTATATGGCTAGTGTCTGACATACAGAAATGTGTACTCAGCTCTTTGGAAGTTAAAGTATTTTGACAGAGCCACATTCACAGGCTGTTAGAAGAGTGAGACTTGAATCTCCTGGCAACTTGGAGGGCATGGCAGCACCTGATGGGTAGTTGTCATCCCACATGCAGATCTCTGAGTTGGGCGCTGGAGGAGGTAGGGGCAGCCTCCAGAGAGCTTGTTAAAACCTGGACTGCAGGCCCCAGCCCTGCTGTCAAGTGTGGGAAAGGAGGCCTGGCTGATCTAATCCCCTCAGAGGCCAGGGTTGGTAAGGTTTCAGGGCTCAAGGGCAGGCCTCCAGCCTGGAGGAATTGATCCAACAGTGGGTTGGGCTGAGCTTCAGGGCAAAGGTCTGGAGCTAAATTGCTGGTGATGGGGACTGGCTGGATGCAGTGGGGCAGACCTATAATCCTAGCAACTCTGGAGGCTGAGACAGGAGGATCGCAAGTTCTAGGTCTCAAAATAAACAGAAATGGCAGGATGTAGCTCAGTGGTAGAGTGCCCCTGGGTTCAATCCACAGTATGGTGGTGGGGAGGTGGGACTGATTGATTGGAGAGGGAAGGTATGAGTGCAAAAGCGGCCCCTCAGCCACTGTCCTCCAGGACCCCACTCTGTGTTAATTCACAGCCAGGTGCCCTTTAATGAATCAACTTATTTTCCCACAATAGTCTTCAATGGCAGGTACTTTTGTTATCCTCTTTTATCAGGGGACACTGAGCAGCTGAGAGAGGGTTGAAGGGACTTGCTAATGGTCACATGGACAGTAAATGGAGAACTGGGACTTGGATTCAGCACTGTTAGATTTCAGATCCTGATTTTTTTTTCAGGGTACTGTTAGTGGGAAAGGTGGGCACAGTATGGAGGGAAATGCTTATGCTTGCCATATTTATGATAGATTAGGCCACCATAGTTGTAAACTTGGGCTACTGGGTATAAGTAGAAACCTGGGCACAGAGAGATTGAGGTTCCTGGGAGGGCTTCCTGGAGGAAGAGACTTTTGTTTTCCCACTCACTATCCTTGTCTTGCCTTTCCCATACCTGAATCTCTGCAGGTCTGGGCCACTCCAAGGAAGCCGCAGCCCCTGCTCCTGTTGGTGAGCTGGTTCCTGGTAGCTTCCTGAAGGCTGTTGTGGATGCCTTGGAGTTGGGCCCCCCAGTTGTGATCAGTCCATCATTAAGTGGCATGTACTCCCTGCCGTTCCTCATGGCCCCTGGCTCCCAGCTCCGGGGCTATGTGCCAGTGGCCCCCATCTGTACTGACAAAATCAGTGCTGCCGACTATGCCAATGTGAAGGTACCCTTGTGTGGGAAGCTGAGACACCCCTGCCAGGAGCCTGGAAGGGTCCATCCCTGAGTCTTCCTCATCTGGGGGCTGGATAACCAATGGGTGGCCTCTGGGAGGAAATGACTGCCAAATTCCATCCTTTTGATGTACTTATCAGATTTCTGTACTAAGCTCTGTACTAAATTGTGTGCTGGGGCAGACACAAATCCAAGCCCCCAACCTACTGATCCAGCTTGTCTCAGTGTGTCACCGCTGATGGCTAGAACTGATCTTCAGGAGGCTGGAATGGCAGGCCCGCCCTGTTGACTCTGCTCCCATTTCCTTTCAGACTCCGGTCCTAATCGTATATGGAGACCAGGACCCCATGGGTCACACCAGCTTTGAGCACCTGAAGCAGCTGCCCAACCACCGTGTGTTAGTTATGGAGGGGGCTGGGCACCCCTGTTACCTGGATAAGCCTGAGGAGTGGCATGCAGGGCTGCTGGACTTCCTGCAGGGGCTAGCATGAGGCTCAGCCTTGCAGATGGGGGTGGACTGCCTTCCTGCCTGCCTTGGGAATCTCTCTCTTCTCCTACATGGGCTCTGGCTTATGCACATGCAACAGGTTTGTCTGTCTATAAGTCTATATGGAGTCTTGTCTTTTGGGGTCTGTCTGCCTTTTTTTCTGCTTTCTCTTGCAGTGACAGATTGAGAAGGTAAAATCAAGAGGGGGAAAAAAACCCTCAGGAATTGAAGAACATAACCTGGTGGAGGGTAATTGATGAGTTTCTCCTACAGGCTTTTCTGCTTGGCCTTAACTCCTTACTCTGCCCAGCCCTCCCCTGCCCTCCCCTCCCCTGCCCTCTCCTCCCCTCCACCTCCACCTCCTTCTTTAAGCCCTACAGGCCAGCCACTCCCTCCTCCACTTCTCTAGCCCTCTTAGGCCACTTGCATGCTTACACATTTGAGTCTATGTTCCCAAAGGTCCTAACCTTTCACCTGGGAGCCAAACCATACAGGTGTATGTAACTCGACTGTCATGCACATTCTCATGTACAGTGTGCATTGCATGCATATAACACAAGTGCTTACACATGTACACTTCCACACATGCAGACCTCACTGGGGACCTCACACGCCATCCCTTGCTGGTGACTCTCTTGCTCAGGATGTGGCCAGCCCGAGGCTCCACCCATTGGTTGCAACTGGTCCCAGCCCAGAATTGCCCCCTTCCTTCTGGGCGTTCCACACTTTCCCAGGTTATCAGGCCTGGGTCTTCTCAGCTAAGCTTGTTTCCTGCCCTGAGGTTTGGGGGTTGGGGGAGGAAGATGGATTGTAAAGGTCGGTGAAATAAAGTGCTGCAATTAGACCCCACAGGCTCTTGCTGTCTCCGGAGCACCGCCCCTACCTCCGCCCCTTGGGACTGCCACTGTCGGCCCCTCCCCCACCCTGGCGGGACCAGATGGTCCCCCTGCCCTTTGTCCACCAGACCAGATGGAAGGAAAGAGAGATTGGATTCCCCTCCCCACCCACACACACCCAGGTGCCAAGAGACTCAGCTGTGGGGGGAGGTGGAGGTCAGTGGGACCAGGCTGAGCCGATTACAGAGGAGAGGGGGAGGAATATTTGCTCCCGATGGAGTGGGGGAGGGGCAGGGGACTTGGGAACCGCTCGGCTCCTCCCCCTACTCTTTCCCTAGTAAAGAACTGAAACGGTGCCCCATCCCTTTGGACCCCTAACCCCAAAAGGATTTCTGGGTGTAGATTTGGGGGAATCACGGGGCGGGGTGCATAAGGGCCACACGGCTCTCAGGCCCCTCCTCCGGCTAGTCGGGTAACCTGTCCTGCGCGGATCAGGGCCGGGACGTGCGGTGCGGAAGCTGTGGGTGGCTGAGGGGAGCGGGTCTTGGTGGGCGAGAGCCTGGAGCAGAGGATGGAGCAGAAGCGAGGAGAGCCGGGGCGGGGCAGAGGGTCCAAGCTTGAGGTCCGAGGGACCAGAACTGGGAGCCCGGCAGCGCAGGGACTAGTGCCGGGGCCGGGATCGAGGATGCAGGGAGCTCAGCAGATACGCGGGGTCGGAAGGACTGGCCGGGTGGGAGCTGAGGGGCTCCAGGGCCTGGCGCAGTGGGGAGGGCGCGGGGAGGACCGTGGCTGGGCACCGCGCTTCAAGCTGGACCCCCTGCTCCGCCACGGCCGAGGGCTCTGGGAGCTGCAGGGGAAGGG